CTGCTGCCCCGTTTGGAGACGTGAGGGTGAGGAAGGGGAGAGGAACGGGAAGATGCCAACTGTGAAAGCCTCTATGCAGGACACTTATGTTTCCAGCTCACGCACAAACCCTCTGATGCCATGGAACAGAGCAGAGCACACCCTCACCCCTCGTAACCCACCGTCTTCACTCCTTGCCCCACCAGGGAGGAGGAAGCCCGGTACAAAACGGCACCCACCGCAACGGATGCTTGTACAGAGAAACAGATACCTGGGCACAAAGCAGCTTTCCCCATTTCTCTCACAGAAGATCAACTGCTTTTCTTCCAAAGAATGAACACTTTTTTGAAAGATTATTACTAGAAAAGCTAATAAAACGCTAAGACTATAACAAAGAACAAGTCTTATGAGGAGCGGCTGAGGGAACTGGGGCTGTTTAGCCTGGAGAAGAGGAGGCTGAGGGGAGACCTCATCGCGCTCTACAGCTACCTGAAAGGAGGTTGTAGCGAGGTGGGGGTTGGTCTCTTCTCCCAAGTAACAAGTGATAGGACGAGAGGAAATGGCCTCAAGTTGCGCCAGGGGAAGTTTAGACTGGACATTAGGAAAAACTTCTTTACTGAAAGAGTGGTCAGGCCTTGGAACAGGCTGCCCAGGGAAGTGGTGGAGTCGCCATCCCTGGAGGTGTTTAAAAGACATGTAGATGAGGCGCTTAGGGACATGGTTTAGTGGGCATGGTGGTGTTGGGTTGATGGTTGGACTCGATGATCTTTTCCAACCTTAATGATTCTATGAGTCTATGAAAAGATTAAAAACATCCAAGTAGAAACAACATCCAGAAGGTTTTTAAAAAAAAAAAAAAAGGCAGTAAGTCCCAGAAAAAAGGTCTCAAGTCAGTCCTGTTAGTTTAATGCAACTCCATCGACTCCTCTTGTACCATCACAACGAAGCAGGTTGTAATTTAAAATCTTGGCAGCAATACTTCAAGGATGCTCTGGTTTTCATGCCAAGTGTAACACGACATTTCACCATATGGACTGTTTCCCCAGCTGTTGTACAGAAAGCTGTATGGAGAGGAGCGGGCACATCGCAGAGAGGATGAGGGAGTTTTGTCTGCACATAATCTCTATTGGTCACAGGTAAGTTTTAAATCTGTGCTGGCTTCATGGGAGGGAAGGGAACAGGCACTACTGTTCTGTCACCATCTGAACAACTCCCAGGTAACTCAGCAGGCAATGCAGCCTCATAACTCAACCTCAGTGTAATGATTTAAAGTTTGGAATAAATAAAAAATCATGTTTTGCCTGTCCCCCTTCTTAGTGCTTCCAGAGAAGTTCAGCCAGGCTCTTAAGCTACTTACCAAATCTAAAAAAAACAAAAAAAAAAAAAAAAAGAAAA